ATCTTTATCTGTTATTCTGTTGTAAACATAACTCCAGAACGACTGGGAAACTTGGGAATTCCAACTAGCCGCTAGCTAGCCGGTTCTGTCCGGATGTATTGTTATCCTTAAAAAGTAATTTCCTCTTTGCAGCAACGTTTTCTCAAACAATCAGCATTTTCTGTAAATAAAGACCCACTGCAGAAACGGGCCAATATGGCAGTAAATTAGGACATATGGACATTGGGAACATCTCTGAAAATTTCCTATCCATACTTGGTTTTTTCCCATGATCGTGAGGTCAGGAGCCTTGCGCTTCAAAACTCTGCCAGTCTGAATTCGGAAGTCCCAGAGTAGTTTGACGTGTTTATTATATTATTATTATTAATGGCATGTTATAGTCTTAAGGAGCCCCCAGTGGCGCAGCAGGTTAAACCGCTGAGCTGCTGAACTTGCTGATGAAAAGGTTGGCAGTTCAAATCTGGGGAGCTGGGTGAGCTCCTGTTGATAGACCCAGCTTCTGCCAACCTAGCAGTTCCAAAATATGTAAATATGAGTCGATCAACACGTACTGCTTCTGTGGGAAGGTAATAGCATTCCATGCAGTCATTCCGGCCACGTAACCTTGGAGGCGTCTATGGACAACACTGGTTCTTGGGTTTAGAAATGAAGATGAGCACCACCCCCCGGAGTCGGACACGACCAGACTTAATGTCAAGGGGAAACCTTTGCTACTTTTATAGTCTTAGGCCTGCTGTTAATAGGAACCTTTCAAGCAACCCGAAACTACACTGATGCCACATCTAGCTGTCTGTATGGGTGCTGGTAATTTTATTGCTATACTAGCTTGGGGACCCGGCAGTGCCCAGGTTATTTAAGAAAAGCATTGTGTGCCAAGGTTGGTCTTTATCAGTTATTTATGTGGCTTGCAATGGTCTCAGGAAGTTAGTGAAGGTACTGCAAGTCCCATCGTCCATGGTCCGCAGTGGTCTGTGGGAACCGAAGGGTTGCAAAGTACTACAAATCCCAACATCCATTGTCCATCCTCCCCCAAACCTCACCAGGATGTAAAAGGGGTCATGGGGGTTGTGTGTGCCAAGTTTCGTCTTGATCAGTCATTGGATGAGGGTCACAGTGGTCTCAGGAAGTGAGTGAAGGTACTTCAAGTCCCATCTTCCGTGGTGCATCCTCCTCCAAAATGCACCAGGATGTAGAGTGGGTCATGGGGGCTCTGTGTGCCAAGTTTGGTCTTGATCAGTCATTGGATGAGGGTTCCAGCGGTGTCGGGAAGTGAGTGGAGGTACTGCAAGTCCCATCATCCATGGTCTGCCCTCCTCCAAACTGCAGCAGGATGTAGAGTGGGTCATGGGGGCTCTGTGTGTCAAGTTTGGTCTTTATCAGTCTTTGTTGGGGGCGCAGTGCTATGTGGGAACCAAAGGGCTGGAAAGTACTACAAATCCCATCATACATTGTCCATCCTCCCCCAAAACTCACCAGGACGTAAAGGGGGTCATGGGGGTTATGTGTGCCAAGTTTGGTCCAGGTCCGTCACCCATGCTGGTCACAGTGGTCTGTGAAAGTGGGAGCCAATCAGAAAGCTGCTACATACACCTCCACAAACAAACTTACATACATACATTCACTTTTATTATATACTAGCTGTCCCCTGCCACGCGTTGCTGTGGCCCAGTCTGGTGATCTGGAAAATAAAGTAATGAGAAAGTGTTGGTTTCTAATATATGTAATTCCTTTATGCTTGTGGGTAAACAGTATTTCTTGATGTTTCTTTGTCAGTGTTGATGTGGAGAGTGTCTGGTTTGCCTACTCTGGAATATGCAACATATCATAGTCCTTCTTTAAGGGTCTCTTTCAAATCTATGATACTTTATCTGTGTGTGTGAATCATATCTTATCTATCTATCTATATCTATATGGCTGGATGGCTCTTTGTCAGGAGAACTTTGATTACGTTTTCTTGCCCTGATGAAGGGAGTTGGATTGGATGACCTTAAGAATTTTCTGTTGGTCATGGGGATTCTGTGTGGGAAGCTTGCCCCGATTCTGTCGTTCGTGGGTTTCAGAATGCTCTTTAATTGTAGTGAACTATAAATCCCAGTAACTACAACTCCCAAATGTCAAGGTCTATTTCCCCCAAACTCCATCTGTGTTCATATTTGGGCATATGGAATATTCATGCCAAGTTTGGTCCAGATCCGTCATTGTTTGAGTCCACAGTGCTCTCTGGATGTAAGTGAACTACAACTCCCAAACTCAAGGTCAATGCCCACCAAACCATTCCAGTGTGTTCTGTTGGTCATGGAAGTCCTGTATGCCATGTTTGGTTCAATTCCATCATTGGTGGAGTTCAGAATGCTCTTTGATTGTAGGTGAACTATAAATCCCAGCAACTACAACTCCCAAATGTCAAGGTCTATTTCCCTTAAACTCCATCTGTGTTCATATTTGGGCATATGGAATATTTGTGCCAAGTTTGGTCCAGATCCATCATTGTTTGAGTCCACAGTGCTCTCTGGATGTGGGTGAACTACAATTCCCAAACTCAAGGTCAATGTCCACCAAACCTTCCAGTTTTTTTCTGTTGGTCATGGGAGCCCTGTGTGCTAAGTTTGGCCCAATTCCATCATTGGTGGAGTTCAGAATGCTCTTTGATTGTAGGTAAACTATAAATCCCAGCAACGACAATTCCCAAATGACAAAATCATTTTTTTTGAGTGGAGGACATACATTGGGTTGTTAGGTGTCTTGTGTCCAAATTTGGTGTCAATTTCCCCCAGTGGTTTTTGAGTTCTGATGGTATCACAAACTAACATTACATTTTTATTTATATAGATATAGGTGATATTTATAATCATTATGATATAATAATTGTAATATTATATTGCCTTTAATATATATTATGATTTTATTTTATCACAATCATATTATATTGATAATAATATAATATATATACAATCATAATATAGTATTTCTAATATATTATATTGTTGTTGTTCATTCGTTCAGTCGTCTCCGACTCTTCGTGACCTCATGGACCAGCCCACGCCAGAGCTCCCTGTCGGCCGTCACCACCCCCAGCTCCTTCAAGGTCAGTCCAGTCACTTCAAGGATGCCATCCATCCATCTTGCCCTTGGTCGGCCCCTCTTCCTTTTTCCTTCCACTTTCCCCAGCATCATTGTCTTCTCTAGGCTTTCCTGTCTCCTCATGATGTGGCCAAAGTACTTCAACTTTGTCTCTAGTATCCTTCCCTCCCAGTGAGCAGCCGGGCTTTATTTCCTGGAGGATGGACTGGTTGGATCTTCTCGCAGTCCAAGGCACTCTCAGAACTTTCCTCCAACACCACAGCTCAAAAGCATCGATCTTCCTTCGCTCAGCCTTCCCTAAGGTCCAGCTCTCACATCCGTAGGTTACTACAGGGAATACCATGGCTTTGACTAGGCGGATCTTTGTTGTCAGTCTGATGTCTCTACTCTTTACTATTTTATCGAGACTGGACATTGCTCTCCTCCCAAGAAGTAAGCGTCTTCTGATTTCCTGGCCACAGTCTGCATCTGCAGTCATCTTTGCACCTAGAAATACAAAGTCTGTCACGGCCTCCACATTTTCTCCCTCTATTTCAGTTGTCAATCATTCTTGTTGCCATAATCTTGGTTTTTTTGATGTTTAGCTGCAACCCGGCTTTTGCGCTTTCTTCTTTCACCTTGATTAGAAGGCTCCTCAGCTCCTCCTCGCTTTCGGCCATCAGAGTGGTGTCATCTGCATATCTGAGGTTGTTAATGTTTCTTCCAGCAATTTTCACCCCAGCTTTGCATTCATCAAGCCCCGCACTTTGCATGATGTGTTCTGCATACAAGTTAAAAAGGTTGGGTGAGAGTATGCAGCCTTGCCGTACGCCTTTCCCAATCTTGAACCAGTCTGCTGTTCCGTGGTCAGTTCTGACTGTTGCTACTTGGTCCTTGTACAGATTCCTCAGGAGAGAGACAAGGTGGCTTGGTATGCCCATCCCACCAAGAACATGCCACAATTTATTACGATCCACAGTCAAAGGCTTTAGAGTAGTCAATGAAGCAGAAGTAGATGTTTTTCTGAAACTCCCTCCCTTTCTCCACTATCCAGCGGATATTGGCAATCTGGTCTCTCGTTCCTCTGCCTTTAAACAGAGGCTGGATGGCCATCTGTCAGGGGTGATTTGAATGCAATATTCCTGCTTCTTGGCAGGGGGTTGCACTGGATGGCCCATGAGGTCTCTTCCAACTCTTTGATTCTATGATCTATGATCTGGCAACTCTCGCTCCATGTATTGCTGGAGTCTTCCTTGCAGGATCTTGAGCATTACCTTACTGGCATGAGAAATCAGGGCCACTGTACAGAAGTTTGAGCAGTCTTTCGCATTTCCCTTTTTTGGTATGGGGATAGAAGTTGATTTTTTCCAGTCTGATGGCCATTCTTGTGTTTTCCATATTTGCTGGCATATGGCATGCATCAGCTTGACAGCATCATCTTTTAAGATTTTGAACAGTTCGGCTGGGATCCCGTCGTCTCCTGCTGCCTTGTTGTTAGCAATGCTTCTTAAGGCCCATTCAACCTCACTCCTCAGGATGTCTGGTTCTAATTCATTCACCACACCGTCAAAGCTATCCTCGATATTATTATCCTTCCTATACAGATCTTCTGTGTAGTCTCGCCACCTTCTCTTGATCTCTTCAGCTTCTCTTAGGTCCCTGTCATTTTTGTTTCTTATCATACCAATTTTTGCCTGAAATTTACCTCCAATGTTTCTAATTTTCTGGAAGAGGTCTCTTGTCCTTCCTATACAATCATAATATAATATTTCTAATCTATTATATTACAATTAATATATTTATAATGTATTATTATTTTATATATAATCATTACAATATAGTGTGGCTTATGTATTACCTGTATTTTACTTTTCCCAAAACGACCGAAGGGGGGATTCGAACTCATAACTCTCTCAAGAGTGCAATTGAAACGTTCAAACCGCGCTGGAGTCCTCTTCCTCAAGGCGCATGCGCACAGTGACGGCCTCGTCGGATTCCTCCCCGCGTCAAGGCAGGAGAGAGAGAAGGAATAGTAGTCTTTGTTTGTGCGCATGCGTGGCTCCCAACGCGTGCATTCGCAGTGGAGTGCTCCTTCCCCGGGCGCCTAGAGAGGACGTCATCAGCCAAGGCGCTTCTCCTGGGTGCTACTTCGTGCTTCCTTTGCCTCCATGGACGACGAGGAAGAGACCTACCGGCTGTGGAAGATCCGCAAGACCATCATGCAGGTCTTTCTCCCGCTCCATGGAGGGGTTTCATGCCTCTGCTGGGTTGGGCTCTGTGTTTATTTAGGATGTTGGTGTTTAATTCAGTTTTAAAGTCTGTATAGATCCGGCCTGGGCAAACTTTCCGACTTGGGGACCGCATGCTCGGAGCCCCTGCTAGGAGGACTGGCTTTCCGGGGATTGAAGGAAGGAAGGGAAGGATGGAAGGAGAAAGAAGGAAGAGAGGGAAAGGAAAGACAAAAGGGAAGGAAGGAAGAAGGGTGGAAGGAGGAGAAGAAAGAGGAGAGGGGGAAGGGAGGGAGAGAGGGAAGGAAGGAAGGACAAAAGAGTAGAAGGGAAGTAGAAAGAGGGAGAGAAGGAAGGAAGGACGAAAGGCATGAAGGGAAGGATGTAAAGAGAGGGAAGGAAGGAGAGAGGGAAGGAAGGAAAGACAAAAGGGGAAGGAAGGAGGAAAGGGTGGAAGGGAAGGATGAAAGGGAAAGATGGAAGAAGAAAGAGGGAGAGAGGGAAAGAAGGAAAGACGAAGGGGAAGGAAGGAGGAAAGGGTGGAAGGAGGAAAGGAGGAAGGGAAGGATGGAAGAAGAGGAGAGAGGGAAGGAGGGGGAAGGAAGGGGAAGGGAAGGGAAGGAAGGGATGGAGGAAGGAAAAGAGAAGGAAGGGCAGGAGAAGGGTGAAGGGAAGGATGGAAGGAAAAAGAGAAGGAAGGAGGGAAGGGAAGGGAAGATGGAAGGGAAAGGGGAGAGGGAAGGAAGGAAAGAAGGGAAAAGATGAAAGGGTGGAAAGGAAAGGGAGAGGGAAAGGGGAAGAAGGGAGGAGGAGGGAGAGGGAAGGAAGGAAGAGAAGGAAGGAAGGAGGAGGAAGGAGGAAGAGAAAGAGGGAAGAGGGAAGAGGAAGGAAGGAGGGAAGGCGGGAAGGAGGAAGGAAAAAAGAAGGAAGGAAGGAAAAGGGAGGAAAGGATGGAAGGAGAGAGGGAAGGAAGGACAGACAAAAGAGTAGGAAAGAAGGATGAAAAGGTGGAAGGGAAGGATAGAAGAAAGGAAGGAAAGAGAGATGGAAGAAAAGACAAAAGGGAAGGAAGGTAGGAAGGAGAAAGAGGGGGAGAGGGAGGGAAGGGAATGAGGAAGGGAAGTGAGAAGTAAGGACAAAAGGGTAGAAAGAAGGAAAGACTTTAGGGAAGGAAGGAAGGAGAAAGAGGAGGAAGAGGGAAGGAAGGAAGCAGGGACGAAAGGGTGGAAGGGAAGAAGGAGGGAAGGACGAAAGGTGGAAGGGAAGAAGGAAGGAAGGAAGGAGAAAGGAAAGAGAGAAGGAAGGAAAGGATGGTGAGAGAGGAAGGCCTGAGAAAAGAGCCCAAGGGGCTGCATCTGCTCCCCGGGCTTGGGTTTGGCCATACCTGCTAAAATATATAGATTAGGTTTTAAGTTATATACATATTCTCTTTGGGAGAGATAAATCGAGATACACATAGTAATAATGATGATAATAATGATTTCTGTTTCCCTTTCTATTTTTCCTTCCGGTCCTTCCTGGAGGGCCGTACCCAGAAGGTGGAGCTGAGGGACTCCTGATCAACCCCCTGGCCATTTGCCAGTGGGATCCTTCAGGGTTACATCCTGACCCCCGTGCTTTTTCATATCTACATGAAACCGCTGGAAGAGATTATCCAGAGTTTTGGAGTTTGGTGTCAAATTTATGCCGATGACACCCATAAATTTGATTGGATTAAGGCTAATAAGTTTAAAGTAAATCCAGACAAGACAGAGGTCAGTCCAAAGGCAGATCAGTGTGTGGGGTTACAGCCTCTACTGGATGGAGTCACACTCCCCCTGATGACACAGGTTTGCAATCTGGGGGTGATCCTGGTGTCAGTGGTGGCCAGGAGCGCCTTTGCACAACTAAAACTTGTGCACCAGCTACACCCATACCTTGAGACACCAGATCTGGCCATGGTAGTAGATGCTTTAGTCACATCCCATCTGGACTGCTGCAATACTCTCTGCGTGGGGCTGCCTTTGAAGATACGAGGGTTATCTGGAAAGTAAGATTACAAGATTTTTTAATACAAAGAGTGAATATATTTTAATAAAATTTACATGGATTGTTGCCTTGGTATTACATTATTTTTCCATATAATCACCATTCAGTTCAATACATTTTGTCATCCATGGGATGAGTTTTTGATGCCAGCGTCATAGAAGTTTCCCTCCTCCTTTTTCAGCCAGTTCATCACTTTGATTTTCACCTTGTCGTTGTCAGAAAAGTGTTTTCCACCCAGGTGTCCCTTTAATTTAGTGAACAGATGATAGTCACTGGGTGTGAGATTGGGCCTGTGAGAGGGGTGGCTGAAAACATCCCAACCAAAGGAAGTCAACCACTCCTGCATTGCATGAATTCCCGCTTTTGGAATTCGCTGCCTAAGGAGATCAGGCAAGCCCCCCTCCTAGCTGGTTTTAAGAAAGACCTAAAAACCTGGCTCTTCCGTTGTGCTTTTGGAGAATGACCATTCAACCAATCTGGTTGGCTTAGACTACAGCTGCCCTCAGAATAAAGCATCTCTCCCCCCCCCCCCCCTAAAATGGCTAAATCCCATGGTTCCTCCCTGTTGGGCTCCTTTCCTACAAATGCACTTTTATCCCTATCTCACCCTGGGTTTTAACTTTTTAAACATTTTACCTCACACATTTTGGCCCGCCCTCCGTGTTTGGTTTTAATATGCTGTTTTATATTGTTGATTTTGTTATTTTATATTTTGTTATGATGTATTTTGTTACTGTGTGTTTATTATGTTGTTTTATTTTGGGCTTGGCCTCATGTTAGCCACATCGAGTCCCCTTTGGGGAGATGGTAGCGGGTTATAAATAAAGTGTATTATTATTATTATTATTATTATTGTTATTATTATTATTATTAGCAGTGTGTGGGTGCGCATTGTCATGAAGGAGGCAGACTCCCGCTGTCAGCATCCCATGACGTTTGTTTTGGATGGCTCTGCGAGGTTTCGTCATGGTCTCACAATATATTCCGCACTCATTTTGTTACATGATGTCTTGACATTATGTCCTCTCCATAAACAGAAATGATTTCACAATGAGTCACAGTGGCGTTCATGCCCCGAGCATTTAGGTAGCGTGTTACAGCGCGAACTTCGCACTTTGAGGGAAACAGAATGAGGACACTCACCTCTAGCCTTCACCACAATTCTAGTCAATGAGCTCTTGACAACTGGCACTGCTCGTTCGCTTCCGCTGGCTTCCTGCTCCACGGCAGTCATACCAACTTCCCCCAAGAAAATTCCCTGCGAGAGCTACGTGCCTTGGAACCTTACTTTCTAGATAACCCTCGTATATATCAATCTACCTACCTACCTAAGTCATGACAATGCGTGTCCGCACACCACTCATGCAACACAAGAGTTGCTGACTTCATTTGGTTGGGATGTTTTAAGCCATCCCTCTCATAGCCCCGATCTCGCACCCAGTAACTCTCATCCTTTCACTAAACTGTAGGAACACCTGGGTGGAAAAACCTTTCCATTGATGACAAGGTTAAAATCGAAGTGACAAACCGGCTGAAAAAAGCAGAAGGAAACTTCTATGACACAGGCATCAAAAACTCATCCCACAGATGACAAAATGTATTGAACTGCATGGTGATTATGTGGGAAAATAATATAATATCTATGCTACAATCCCATGTACGTTTTATTAAAACACATTCATTCTTTGAATTTTAAAAATTCTTGTAACTTTACTTTCCGGATAATCCTTGTAGATAGATCAAGATTTCTACTTTTGAAACTTTCAGGCTTTCAGGCTAAACAGACACATTCTTTCATCCCTTTCAATGGCTAGCTCTGCCATGACCGTGGCTACCTCGTGACCCAAGACGAGCTGGACCAGACGCTGGAGGAGTTCAAGGCCCAGTTTGGCGACAAGCCCAGCGAAGGTCGGCCCCGGCGCACCGACCTCACCGTGCTGGTCGCCCACAATGACGACCCTACCGACCAGATGTTTGTCTTTTTCCCTGGTGAGTGTCTCTTTCAAATCGCAGAGCAGATAAAGCTTCAGGTTGGACAAATAAATGATAGGCCTGATAATATGTTTTTTAAATATTCAGAGGAGCCGAAGGTCGGGATCAAGACCATCAAGATGTACTGCCAGCGCATGCAAGAGGAGAACATCACCCGGGCACTCATTGTGGTCCAGCAGGGCATGACGCCATCCGCCAAACAGGTTCTGACATCTATGTGGGATGAAGGGAGGGTGCCCATTCTATAATAATAATAATAATAATAATAATAATAATAATAATAATAATTAGCTAGTAATAATATTATTATTACTAGCGCTGCCCGGGTTATTTGAGAAAGGCATTGTGTGCCAAGGTTGGTCTTTATCAGTTATTTCAGTGGCTCGCAGTGGTCTCAGGAAGTTAGTGAAGGTACTGCGTGTCCCATCATCTGTGGTTCATCCTCCTCCAAACTGCACCAGGATGGAGAGTGGGTCATGGGGGCTCTGTGTGCCAGTTTGGTCTTGATCGGTCATTAGATGAGGGTTGCAGCAGTCTTGGGAAGTGAGTGGAGGTACTTGAAGTCCCATCATCTGTAGTCTGTTCTCCTCCAAACCTCACCAGAATGTTGAGTTGGCCATGGGGGCTCTCTGTGCCAAGTTTGGTCTTTATTGGTAATTAGATGAGGGTTGCAGTGGTCTCAGGAATTGAGCAAAGATACTGCAAGTCCCATCATCCATCTCCAAATTTTCCAAACTGCACCAGGATGTAGAGTTGGTCATGCGGGCTCTCTGTGTGAATTGTGATCCTGATCCATCATTGTTGGCAGTTGTAATGGTCTCAGGAAGGGAATGCAGGTATTGCAAATCCTATCGTCCATGGTGCATCATCCTCCAAACTGCAGCAGGATGTAGAGTGCGTCATGGAGACTCAGTGTGCCAAGTTTGGTCTTTATCAGTAATTGGATGAGGGTTGCAGTGGTCTCAGGAATTGAGTGAAGGTACT